CGCTTGTCTGGGATTCAGGCTCTTGGCAGATCGCAAGTATTCCAGATTCTTGTGGTCAGTTAGAATCACAAACGGGTGTTTAGCTCCCTCCAGCCAATGACGCCACTCCTCCATAGCTGCTTTCATGGCCAACAGTTCTCGGTTTCCGACGTCGTAGTTCTGTTCGGCTGGACTAAGTTTGCGGGAGTAATAGGCGCACGGATAGAGCTTGAGTGGGGATCCGTGCCGCTGTGAGAGGATGGCTCCAATGCCCGTATTAGAAGCGTCCACCTCAACTGTAAACGGGATTTCAGGATTAGGGTGGTGGAGGATGGGGGCAGATGTGAAACGTGACTTGAGTTCTGCGAAAGCCTCCTGTGCTGTAGTTGACCAGGTGAGGTGTGGTGCATTTCTCTTAGTCATAGAGGTTAAGGGAGAGGCTACCGCGCTGAAATTCCTGATGAAGCGTCGGTAGAAGTTAGCAAATCCCAAGAAGCGTTGTAACTCCTTTAAGGTTACTGGCAGTGGCCAGTCTAGAACGGCCTTGACCTTCTTCTCGTCCATGGCGACTCCCTCCTGGTTGATGATGTAGCCCAAGAAAGACGTGGAAGTCTGGTGAAATTCGCACTTCTCTGCTTTGGCGTATAATTGGTGATCAATGAGTCGTTGTAATACTGTTCTCACGTGTTGCACGTGTTCCTCATAGGTGTTGGAATAGACGAGAATGTCATCGATGTAAACAATTACCCAACGATTAAGCATGTCCCGAAAGACGTCATTGATAAACGACTGAAATACGGACGGACTATTGGACAGCCCGAAAGGCATAACCAAATACTCATAGTGCCCAGTGCTGGTAGAGAAGGCTGTCTTCCATTCATCACCGTCCCGGATGCGAATGAGATTGTAGGCGCTGCGGAGGTCCAGTTTGGAGAAGTACTTGGCTTTGCGGAGTTGTTCTAGGGCAGCTGGTACCAGCGGTAAAGGATATCGAAACTTGACGGTGATGTCGTTGAGACCCCGGTAGTCGATACAAGGGCGTAGGCCACCGTCTTTTTTTTTAACAAAGAAGAAGCCAGAGGCTGCAGGTGATGTCGACGTTCTAATGAACCCCTTCGAAAGTTCCTCCTCGATGTAGTTGTTCATGGCTTCTGATTCGGGTTGTGATAGGGGGAAGATTCGGCCCTTAGGTGGTGTTGTGCCTGGTAATAGTTCGATGGAACAGTCGCTTGATCGGTGGGGGGGGAGTTCCATCGCCTTGGTCTTGCTAAAAGCTTCGATGAGGTCAGAGTATTCAATGGGAAGAGTGGGGAAAAGGGCCGGCTCGTCCTTTAGCGTGACGGTCTGAAAGGAGAGTGAAGGGCTGCCAGTTAAGCAGTTGGAGTGACATGACGGGTCCCATTTGATGATACGACCCTCCCTCCATGAGATGAGGGGATTATGTTGACGTAGCCAGGGGAGTCCAAGAATAACCGGGTTATGAGGTGATGAGATGACGTAGAAACGAATTACCTCAGTGTGAAGGGTACCGGTCTGTAGTTGAAGGTCCACGGTGGTGTGCAGGACCCTCCCATCGCCGAGAGGCCGTCCATCTAGCGCCTCCACTGCCAATTGAGAGTTACAGGAGATTAATGGGAGTTGTTGTTGTTGGGCAAACTCGTGAGACATAAAGTTCCCGGCTGCTCCTGAGTCTAATAGAGCTGATGTGGATATATGATTGCCCTCTAGAGATAATACTATAGGTACTTTGATGCAAGAACTGGAGTGATGTGCTTGAACACAAGGACTCACCGAAGAGGGATTACGAGGAGGTGGTCTTGTGGGGCAAAACGCCCTCAGATGGCCCGGTTGACCACAATAGAGGCAGAGATGTTGACGTATGCGGCGTTCTCGTTCTTCCGGAGTCAGGTGAGTATATCCGAGCTGCATGGGTTCAGTTTGAGACAGAGTGACCGGGTATTGTGTGCTGGTGGGTACCGTTCTGAGTGGACGACGTGAACGAATCAGATTGTCAATCTGAATGGTTAGTTCAATGAATTGATTCAGCGATCTCCCTTCATCTCGGCAGGCCAGTTCGGATTGCAACTCCAAGCTGAGTCCCTTGCGAAAGAGCAGTTTAAGTGTGCTCTCCACCCAGTCGGTTTGAGCTGCTAGAGTGCGAAATGTCAAAGCATATTCTGCTGCGGTATTCCTGCCCTGGCTCAACGCAAGTAGTCGGTCATCAGCTCTCATACCTCCCTCCGGGTGTTCAAATATTTCCCGGAAGCGTTGAAGAAAGGTACCAAACGATGGGAAAGCAGTGCCATCCTCTCTCCAAACCGCCGTCACCCACTCTAACGCCTTGTCAGTGAGGAGTGAGCATACCAAGGAAATCTTGCTGGCATCGGTGACATACATAGCTGGTTGTTGATCAATGAATAATGAACATTGCAGTAGAAATCCCTTACTTTTAGTTGGGTTGCCGTCGAACTTATCAGGGAGAGCCAGACGTGGGTTAACTGTGAGTGACGGTGGTGGAGAAGCGCCCACACTCGCGTTCGGTTGAGGAGGAGCTGGGTTCGTTAGCGACACCTGCAACCTCTGTAGCGTCCTGACGAGTTCCTCTGTTACTGTAGTTAAATGGGTTAGCTGCTGTTGATGAATGGCGAGTTGGTTAGCTTGAGTGGAGATCTCCGTGGACATCTGAACCAGAGCTGCTGGATCGTGTGTCGGCGAAGTCTTCTGTAATGATGCTCCAGGAGAGTGAGGATCCATTTGCAGTTTTATTACAATCTTGGTCGTACAAACAGGGTCAATCGCCAGCAGACACAACAGTAGGGATAAGGCAAATCGTAATCCAGGTACAGGCATAAGGTCAGGGCAGGCAGCAAGCTTACAAAAATCAGTCCAGTAAAGAATATAATCCACGGGCAGACAGACACAGGCGAAAACGCTCAGAAATGATCACCAGGGTTAACAAGACTTCGCAAAGAGAGAGAGTTTGAGAGCACCTAAATAGTCTACTGATGGGAGTCAGGTGCAACGGTAATCAGAGCCAGGTATGTGGGAAATGTAGTTCAGGGGTTTAATACTCAGGAGAGGGTTCCCTCTGGTGGTGAGCAGGAGGAACAGCGGGAGTCTCGTTTGTGACAGGCATTGTGTTGTCTGACAAAACTGCACATTTTAGAGTGGCCTTTTATTGTCCCCCAGCACAAGGTGCACCTGTGTAATGCAACATGCCACCAGAGGTCTCTTCACAGTCCCCAAGTCCAGAACAGACTATGGGAGACGGCAAGTACTACATAGAGCCATGACTACATGGAACTCTATTCCACATCAGGTAACTGATGCAAGCAGTAGAATCAGATTTTTTTTTAAACTGGTAAAAATACACCTTATGGAACAGCGGGACTGTGAAGAGACACACACAGGCACAGATACAAGCGCTAGCACACGCACTCTACACACACGTACACTGTAATATTGTTGTATGGTGGTATTATGCATTTTGTATTGTAGAGACGTAGTGGTGTAATAATGTTATATGATGTACTGTTTTATCTTTTGTTTTATATGTAATGTAAGTGCCTTAATGTGTTTGGACCCCAGGAAGAGTAGCTTCTGCCTTGGTAGGAACTAATGGGGATCCATAATAAATACAAATACAAATGATCATTCTGTTTAATCAGCTTCTTGATATGCCACACCTGTCAGGTGGATGGATTATCTTGGCAAAGAAGAAATGCTTACTACCAGGGATGTAAACACATTTGTCCATCCAATGAGAGAAACAAGCTTTTTGTGCGTATGGAACATTTTATTTCAGCTCATGAAACAACATGGGGCTTAACACTTTACATGTTGCGTTTATATTTTTGTTCAGTGTAATATCTAATCTCTTAGTGACTGACCTCTTAAAACATAGCAAAAATAATGATTATTATAATTCTCCATATGAGATCATATGAATGCATGGCTTCGTGGTTGACCTATTCATAATTAAATCAAGCATCAAGTGAACCACAATGATCTTCTATTCCACTATTGTGCTCTGTTGCAATCTCATTATGACTAAATAACTATCTGACCTAAGTGTGAGGGAGTAGAAGAGAAGTCATGCTGATATAAGCTACATTTCCTGGTTCCCACTCTGGTCTCTGGGCTGTAAGGTGTTGCTTGTTGATAACATCCTGCTCCTCTTCAGTATGACTCACTGGTAATGATTATTCATGACCCGGTGGTTCCGAACAGAATAGAGAGTTTGGCCAACTTTGAAGATGGACGCCATGTTGGTGCCTCTATATATGGCTCTGGTGGTACTGCCTGCCTGTCTGCCTGCCTGCCTGCCTGCCTGCCTGTCTGTCTGCCTGCCTGCCTGTCTGTCTGTCTGTCTGTCTGTCTGTCTGTCTGCCTGTCTATTTGTGTCTGTCTGTCTGCCTGTCTGTCTGTCTCTGTGTCTGTCTGTCTGCCTGTCTATCTGTCTGTCTACCTGTCTGTCTGTCTCTGTGTCTGTCTGTCTGTCTGTCTGTCTGTCTCTCTGTCTGTCTGTCTGTCTGTCTGTCTGTCTGTCTGTCTGTCTGTCTGTCTGTCTGTCTGTCTGTCTGTCTGTCTGTCTGTCTGTCTATCTGTGTCTGTCTGTCTGTCTCTGTTTGTCTGTCTGTGGGGGTGGAGGAGTATATGCATAGAAATATAATTACTTGAACGGACATTCCCATCCAAGTCAATGTTCTATGATGGGTGGACCGGCAGCCATATTGAATGTACCCATACCAGGAAGTAGCATAAAGTAATTCCATTTCTATGGGTATAGCTACCGTATGTATGTTCTGTATGTGCTAACGTCTACAGAAGACTTACGCTAGTCTACTCCTATTAGTGAATGTAAATATGAGTCAGTCTACAAGGCTCATATACTTGATTTAAATGTTTAAAATGGCGCACGTCTCATATTTTCTGTTCTCCACCAATCAATGTCTTCCTGAGTACTGATACTGTCCAACATGATATCTTCTTACACAGTTACTACATCACAGGAAGGAATAGTGTCCTCTTACACTCCGCTGTCAGGCTTTCACAGTATTTATGTATATTTAAGTGCTACAAATTCAATGCTGGAACGGTCCTGTCTATTGTTAATTGTCCTTGTTGATACCAAGGCAATGTGTTTAACACTCTCCTGAAGCTTCTGATTGGTCAGTTTGGTGAACTGTGATTGGCTTTTTGTCCAAGTTCCCACCTTCAGGAAGTATACACAGTTTCATCCAATCACACCACGTACTTCACTGATCCATCTAATCACGTCACAGCGTACACCTAGATCTCCGGTCCGTACCATCTCAGACCACTATGGGGTGTCAGAGAAGACTGAACAAATAGACTCAGCCACAGACTTCTTCCTCCTTCCCTTCCTCAGTAACCCTCCCTCCTCATCCATCTCTCCCTGGTCCCCTGTTCCATCGCTGGGGTTCACCTTCCCGTTCAGCCCCTGTCCCAGCTCCTTGGGGTCGATGAAGGCCACGTGCCTTGGGTCAGTGTTGTTGGCCAGGTCCTCATGGCTGGGCGCGGCGCTGAGCATGGAGGAGTGGATGGAGTCCTGGTGGTTGTTCTTGGGGCAGCAGAAGCATCGGCAGGGGGTCAGGTACAGGTAGATGAGCACTAGGACCACGCTGCTCAGGCAGCCCACCAGCGTGGTGTAGGCCGTGTTCAGGGCTTCGCCGTTTCCCTTCTCCGTGAAGTTATGCACCTTTAGGAATTGATAGGAATGGAGTTTAATTTAATTTAGATTTGGGTAATTTTGCAGAAACGCGAATTGAATTGAATAGAATAGAACAGGTTTGAGTTGAATTTTAATTGAATTTACCTTTATTGATCCCCGAGGGGAAATAAAGATGTCACAGGATTACTGTACATACAACGTCACAACACACAGCAAACACATTACAGAACAGCAAACACCTTACAGAACAGCAAACACCTTACAGAACAGCAAACACCTTACAGAACAGCAAACACCTTACAGAACAGCAAACACCTTATAGAACAGCAAACACATTACAGAACAGCAAACACCTTACAGAACAGCAAACACCTTACAGAACAGCAAACACCTTATAGAACAGCAAACACATTACAGAACAGCAAACACCTTACAGAACAGCAAACACATTACAGAACAGCAAACACATTACAGAACAGCAAACACCTTACAGAACAGCAAACACCTTACAGAACAGCAAACACCTTACAGAACAGCAAACACATTACAGAACAGCAAACACCTTGACCATCACGTAGAACGTCTCGTTGAGGGCTTCGCTCACAGCGTGGCACGTGTACGTCCCAGAATCCTCCAGCTTCACCGGGCTGATCTGGAGACTGCCGTCAGGAAGCACCTTGGCTGTCTGATTCGCCCCCTCTGTCACCACCACATTACCAGGCGTCACCCAGGTCTTAGACAGGTCCCTGTGTTTAGTATCACAGCGCAGGATCAGCGTCTGTTCCAGCCATGCCTCCTCGTCCGCCTCGCGGAACGTGCTACAGTTCATATGGTCTCTGTTCAGATCCAACACACCCACCCTGCCTTTCTGGGGCCCGGGGAGATAGCAGGTGTACTCGTCTTTAAAGTCCAGGGCTGAGTTGAGCCGGCGGATGTGCCAATGGGCCAGGAGACTATAAAGACCACAGCCACAGATCAGAGGGTTGTTGTGGAAGTAGAGGCCGTTCTTTATCCAGGCAGGCAGCACCTGCAGCTCCTCGATGGGAGGGGCCTAATAAGAAGACGAATACACACATTATGAGAAACTATTACGTTTGCATGCATGGGGGGGACCTGATAATAATAATAATAATAATAATAATAATAATAATAATAAATAATAGTAATAATATATTTTATTTGCACACCACACTTTAGAATAAGGTTACATCTCAAGGTGTTTCACACCTCACAGGCACAAAAATAAAATCCTAAAGTCATAAGAGTGCTGTAGTAAAACACACTGCAGGCTGCAAGGTCAACATCATGGTTAGGTCAACATCATGGTTAGGTCAACATCATGGTTAGGTCAACATCATGGTTAGGTCAACATCATGGTTAGGTCAACATCATGGTTAGGTCAACATCATGGTCAGGTCAACATCATGGTTAGGTCAACATCATGGTTAGGTCAACATCATGGTTAGGTCAACATCATGGTTAGGTCAACATCATGGTTAGGTCAACATCATGGTTAGGTCAACATCATGGTCAGGTCAACATCATGGTTAGGTCAACATCATGGTTAGGTCAACATCATGGTTAGGTCAACATCATGGTTAGGTCAAGTAACCAAAACAAAGGTATAAAAAACAGACACACGCACAGTCTTATACCTTGATCCTGTTGGAGGAGACGTCCATCAGGCTGAGTCTCTCCAGGCTGGTCTTGTCTTTGACCAGTTCCAGGGGGAAGCGTGAGATCATGTTCTGGGACAGGTAGAGTTTCTGCAGGCTGTGGAGGCCTTGGAAAGCCGAGCGGTCGATCTGAGAGATACGGTTGTTGTACAGCAACAGCACCTGGGAATATGGAGAAATGAACCATGTGTATTTTAAACCTGAAATGTGTTATTGCTTGCTAATACCAGTTCATGTGTGTGACATTTTAACAATGAAACAGTACATTGTATCAAATAATTTAGCCAATTATTGTTATTGATAATATGTAATGAGACGTATTGTAAATTAAAACCATTGTCTGTCTCTCTTTTACCAACAAAGAAACACGCAGGAAAGCAGACAAGAAAGAGAGAACAGAGAAGATGAGGAGAGAGAGATAGAGAGATATCAGAGTAGCCGAGAGCTCGAGAGAGAGAGAGCGTATAGATCTAGAAGATCTCTATATCTCTCTACTGCGTCTCTCATCTCTCTCTCTCTCTCTCTCTCTCTCTCTCTCTCTCTCTCTCTCTCTCTCTCTCTCTTTATCTCTCTCTCTCCTCTCTCAATTCAATGGGCTTTATTGGCATGGGAAACATGTTTACATTGCCAAAGTAAGTGAAATAGATAAACAAAAGTGAAATAAACAATCAAAAATGAACAGTAAACATTACACTCACAAGTTTCAAAGGAATAGACACATTTCAAATGTCATATTATGGCTATGTACATTGTTAAAAATCTCTCTCTCTCTTACTTTGTCTCTGTCTCTCTCAATCTCCCTCTCTCTCTCTCTCTCGCTCTCTCTGTCTCTCTCTGTCTCTCTCTTTCTCAGTCTTTCTCTCTCTCTGTCTCTCTCTCCTTCTCGCTCTCTCTCTCTCCCTCTGTCTCTCACCTCCAGCTGCCCCAGCGGCTCGAAGATGAACTCGTCCAGCTGTCGCAGGTTGTTGGAGGACAGGTCCAGGTAGCACAGGTGTTTCACGTAGAGGAAGGCCTCGGTGGAGAGGAAGTGAAGGCCGTTGTGACTGAGCAAGAGGTTGCGGAGTTTGGTGAGTTTCACCGTGGTCCACTCAGCCCTCAGCCGGGCGATGTGGTTGTAGCTGAGGTCCAGGACGGCCGTGTAGAGAGGCAGGCCAGTGGGCACCGTGGTCAGGTTCATCTTGGAACAGCTCAGGATGTTACTGGCACAGATGCAGGTCTTGTGGCAGTTGAGGGTTGAGGCTAGTGCTCCAGAAGGGAACCAGAGGAGGGCCAGGGAGAGGGAGAGGTACGAGGCCCATCGAACATGGACCCTCCTCAGGCTGGGAGAGGGAGAGGCGGAGGGGGAGGGCTCCGGCAGGGCGCCTGCTCTGCGTGGAGGCAACATGCTAGCAAACGGTCAGTGTTATTAAAGGAGCAGAACTTCCTGTATTATGGGTCTCTTTCTAAACCGCATGGAGCAGCAGCTGGTGGAATCCCCAGGCATTGCTTACTTGAGGTCTGAAAGAAAAGCAAACAGACTACTGTTGTTGGAAACAGAGACATGGCTGTTGGACAGGAGAGGATATCGTCATGGTTACATGCCTGGTAGAGTGAAAGTACATCCCCTAAAACACACACAGTCACACACACACAATCACTATGAGAAACAATTACACAGTCGCACACACACAATCACTATGAGAAAAAAGTACACAGTCACACACACACAATCACTATGAGAAACAATTACATTTGCATGCAGTAACATTTTAACAAATCATTTTGTATTCATTTTATTAGTTTCTACATGCACACTGCTGGTGAATTCAATATTGCATTGCAGCATTCCATTTGCTCCAAAACAGCATGATAATAACACAGAATGTATCCTACCTTCACGTCAGATCAGATTCAACCATCCTCAGCCATTCCCTGAAATTAAATCCATCCGCTACCAAATCAGACACGTCGGTTCATAATTTGCACCTCGTTTTAGTCCCTACAGTGATAGTCCGTCCCTCCAATGTAAGGACAACAAACGAGATGCAGGGAGACAGAGGGGAGAAATCCTTCCTCGCCCAGCTTCAAACAAAACGCTCTGCGCCCAAATCTCTATAGAAGATTACGCAAGGATAAAATTATGCAAGGATAAAATTATGCAAGGATAAGATTATGCAAGGATAAGATTACATAAAGATCAAAGAACACATGCCCTTGGACTGGCGTCACTCACCCAACCTGAATTAATTAATGACAGGAATAAATGTCATGATTTAATAAATAGCTATGGGTCCAGGTATGATGTGTTTTTTTTAAAGGGTACAGATGTCGGATCTTAACTTGCTCACTCTTTTGTCGCAGAGAATTTTCCTGATGCACCAGGAAATTCAAATGAGCCTCATGATTGGTTGAAAACTAGCAGTTCTCTTTCTATCCATGTGGGGGCAGTCGAGTCTTTGGGATCAGGGCTTAAACGTAACCACATGTAACATATGGATTTGCATTAGTATACGCATCAAAAGTCCCAATGCAAAGTCACACCTCACTTTTCTATTTTTCAAGTTATTACAGAAAACCGATCAGAATTCCGAAGAATGCCAAAGTCATGTCAGAAAATGTTTTCCCGGGGTGTGATGTAATCTGGAGGACTCGGCAAGCCAGCCTATTCCCTACAATGTAAAGTCCAACAGAAATAACTTCAAATGTATAACTTCAAATTAAACCAAATCGTTTGCACTCATAAATACTGGTTACAATGTTTCAGCCAGCTTACAAGCAAATACTTTATGAATTTATTGTCACATCTTAGCCAAACAAGCTAGCCAGTCATTTAACATTAGCTATTTAGCCAACTGGCCATTAGCCTAGCCAGCCTAGCCAACCACCATAGTTATGGACGGCAAGCCAGAACCAAACAACTGGAGACCAGCTAGAACACAACTAACACAACACAACTAAAGCATAACCACATATTAAAAGCAAAGAGAGAGCAGAGACTTACAGATTGATGGCTGGGGCCCATCCGATGGTAAAACTTTAACAGGCTGAGTTAACTACCAAAGCAAGGGGGAGGCGGGCGCTTCACCAGGCCAAGAGAGAATCAGGGAAATCCAATAGCTATATAGCACGAAAAATCCCAAATAGATAGATTCCAGATGTCAGTCAGCTAGCGTGCTAGCACTAAGCCAAGGCGGGAAAAGTTACAAAACTCCCGTAGCGTACTTCACAGAGAACATGCCGAAAACTTGACAAAACAAAAAGGAGAACAGACGATGTAATATGGAATTAGAGCAAGCAGGTATGATTTTCTCTTTCGTTTTGAGCACACGGCAAGAAGGCACCAGAGCCTGCCGTGCTAATGGATTCCCACTAGATAACACAGCCACAAAGTCCGTGAAGAGCATGAGGATGCTAACGTTAGCCAGCTTGAGCTAGCTACCGAGCTAGCATACGAACTCGGTAGCACAGAGTAGATTCTCCAAATAACGTTGAGAAATAGTGCATTGTGGGTAGTTTAGAAGATATCCGGAAATAAGTTAATACATTTGTTATAGGTAACCAGATTGTGACTACAACTAAGTTACTAAGTCTTTGACCACCAAAGACGGAGTCATCTATGATTCTCCGAATGATATTTTAAAAGAGGAAGCTAAATATTTTAAGCAGATTTATTTTCCGTCTCATCCTCACCCTCTGAATGACGATTACTGTCAGGAAGTCTTTCCAAATAATACATAAGGCCAAATCACAGAGGAATAACTTTTTGAGGCTATTAAATCCTTTCTGTCTGGAAACCCCCTTGTTGGCATACTGGTAGAGGTACAGCATATCAAGCATTTTTTTATATACTCAAAGCTCCATTATTAGCTTGTTTTAACTACTCCTATAGAAATGGTAGTATGTCAGGTACTCAGCAGGAAGGTCTGATTTCACTATTATAAAAAAAAAAGACCCAGATGGCAAATATAAAGATCCAGTCCATCTACACTTCAACGTTGTGATGCGATAATACTGGCAAAATGCATAGCACTCAGAATTAAAACAGTTTCACCAGGTATTGTTCATCCTGATCAGACAGGTTTTTTTTTACATGGACGATACATTGGAGATAATCTACGACAACTACTAGAAATAATAGAACAACATGAAACATCTAAGAAGCCAGGCCTGGTATTTATAGCGGATTTTGAAAAGTAAGACTGGATTTAATTACAAATGCCAGGATTTTTTTCAATTTCGGTAAGTCTCTTATAAAATGGGTAAAAGTAATGTATAGCAACCCCAGGTGTAAAATAGTAAATAGTGGCTACTTCTCAAAGAGTTTTGAATTGTCAAGAGGAGTTAAACAAGGGTGTCCGCTGTCACCATATCTATTTGCTATGGCCATTGAAATGCTAGCTATTAAAATCAGATCAAATAACAACATTAGAGGATTAGAAATCCAAGGCTTAAAAACAAAAGGTGTCCATGTATGTCGATGACTCAGGTTTTATGTTAAGTCCAGAAGCTAGATCCCTGCTACGTCTCATTGAAGATCTAGATAACTTTTCTGGACTCTCTGGACTAAAAACTTTTACATTACCTTGTAGTTTACCTATAAAATGGGCTGACGGTGAAGTAGACATACTTGGTATTCATATCACAAAATATTTAAATGAGCTCTCCAAAATGAATTTCAATAGAACACTAGTAAAAATAGACAAGATCCTGCAACCATGGAGAGGTAAATATCTGTCTATTTATGGAAAAATTACACTGGTTAACTCCTTGGTCATATCTCAGTTTACTCACTTACTTATGGCGCTGCCTACTCCTGATGATTCGTTTTGCAAATAATATGAGCAAAAAATATTTAGCTTTATCTGGGATGGTAAACCAGACAAGATAAAGCGTGCCTATCTATATAATGAATATGAACTGGGTGGGTTGGGATTATTAAATATAAAAGCACTAAACATCTCTCTAAAAGCTTCACCAAAAGTTTACTTGAACCCTAAATGGTTCTCAAGTAGATTACTAAGAAAAGCTCATTAATTGAAAATGAAACTTTTTCAAAGTATCTCTCTTTTTCAAACAAGCATTGCAGAGCTGCTTACAATTTCAATTTCATCCCCCTGAAAAGATAGAACAAATATTACAAATATTTGTGGGCAACGTTGCGTCTTCTGCAGCAAAACAGTGCATTTGAGCGTAAGTGAGACTGTTTTTCATGAGTCGCAGCATCAGCAACATCCCTGCCAGCCGAGGTAGTGGATCATTGGACTGGAGCGCGTGACAGGAGAAGATGCTTGTGGTTTCCCTTATTCCAAATACCGGTGCTTACTCCAGTCTGTGAGTAGACTGCCTATGCGGTATGCCCTAGTAGAGTACTAGGATACAGTGCATTTGGAAAGTATTCAGACCTCTTCCCTTTTTTCACATTGGAAAAAGTCAAGGGGTCTGAATACTTTCCCGAATGAACTGTACAACTACTACTCTGTATCCAAACCAAACCCTCACACATGAGAAGACAGTACGCAGTGCGGTTTTGAGATGGCAGCAGTGATTCCACGCTCGGCTCTGATGTCCTGCCGTGTTCTAAAGGATGGGGTGATCAATTGTGATCGATTCACTTTCCATAACACGAATTAACTGTGGCCATGCGTACGGCTACAGTAGAATCAACGCACATGTAAGAAACTACAGCAAAGATTCACGGGTACAGAATGAGCATTTTTGCATCTTCTGACTGGCTGTGGTGAGGGAGACATAGAACGATGAAATGCAGCGTGACTGGTGAATGCCAGTTGTTGCAGTCAAGGCCACACACTCTCTCTGTTTGTGTACTCTTTAACTTGTGACCACACAGCAGGACTGGGAGCCTATAGCAGACTTCTCTCAAAGCTGATTCCAACCAACTGTGCATACACTCTATACGGAATTTGATTCTACACCTTATTTAGGAGGTACCTACATAAGGACTTCGTAACGCATACAACACAGTCAGAATTATTACGTAAGCATTTATAATAATAATAATAATAATAATAATAATAATATGCCATTTAGCAGACACTTTTATTGTATTGTATCCCTACTTTATATTCCTTGATCTCAGTTGGTATTTACCCTGTGATGACTGGCCCTGTCTGTCTTTGAGGGGATTTGTAGCTTAATGCTTCCCAGCAGTGCTCTGTGTTGAGGATGACAACAACACACACACACACACACATACACACACACACACACACACACACACACACACACACACACACACACACACACACACATACACACATGCACACATACACACATGCACACACACACAGTCTTGTATAACTAACCTTGTGGGGACACACAATTCAGTCCCATTCAAAATCCTATTCTCCATAACCCTAACCTAACCCTTACCCTAAACCTAATCTT